CTGCCGTAACTTGGACACTCTTTACTTTACTTACTCCAATTTCTGTCAGAATAAACTTCTATATACTTATATTGTGCTTATGGTGTGGAATTAAACATGTAATGATAATATAGGCTACAAGATCAAGCCGAGGTTTAAAAAATTTTGGCAAAAAATCTCGCTTTACTACTTTCCAATGTGACTCCACTAGCATAGTTGTGCGAAAGATACAAATTTTATTTGCAACTACTGATCTTGTCCACAATTTCCACATTTCAATACGATACCAATTGTTCTACATATATATCTATAAATATTTTAAATTATTGCTAACGCAAAATTCATACATTTCTTTTACTGAATTTGTCCAAATTTCATGTTCGGTTAAAAACTTTCCTGTGATATCCGGAATTAATGGATGTAAATGCATATGTCGATCGATCATATTAAGAATTATTGTACGCAAATCTTTTGGACAAAAAGTAAATTTTTTTCGATCCTCTTCTGATTGTACTGGATAAAACTCAATGCTGATAAAATTAAATATATCATGAGCTGAGTAAGAACTATATGATATACTTTTTGGATATTTGTTATCAGCTAATCGTTTTTGAATCATTTTTTTAGGTGCAAATAACAAATTTGAACTTTGATATCTGGCCAAGTTTGTTGAGCTGCAGATATCTGCGAAAAATTCTTATCAGTTAGGAAAAAAAAAACTTGATCCAATCCTGAATTTTTTAATGATTTAAAAAAGGAAGCTAGAATTTCCGTACGTGCACCATCCATTTTATTTATTCCCTCAACAAATAAGTAGGCCATTGCAAAACCAGAGCCATCAAATTGGCCAATAACAGAATAAAGTTCATATCCCAATGCATTAGTCTTGTAGGTAGCATCTACAATAATCTCCCGATTTTTTTTCATAATTTCAAAGAATGGTGTAGTAAATCCTAAAAACTTAATTCTTATATCGCTATTAATTAAAATTATATTATATTTATGTTCTGTTAAAAGAACTTTTGTTGAAATTAATTGATGTAAATGCATATGTCGATCGATCATATTAAGAATTATTGTACGCAAATCTTTTGGACAAAAAGTAAATTTTTTTCGATCCTCTTCTGATTGTACTGGATAAAACTCAATGCTGATAAAATTAAATATATCATGAGCTGAGTAAGAACTATATGATATACTTTTTGGATATTTGTTATCAGCTAATCGTTTTTGAATCATTTTTTTAGGTGCAAATAACAAATTTGAACTTTGATATCTGGCCAAGTTTGTTGAGCTGCAGATATCTGCGAAAAATTCTTATCAGTTAGGAAAAAAAAAACTTGATCCAATCCTGAATTTTTTAATGATTTAAAAAAGGAAGCTAGAATTTCCGTACGTGCACCATCCATTTTATTTATTCCCTCAACAAATAAGTAGGCCATTGCAAAACCAGAGCCATCAAATTGGCCAATAACAGAATAAAGTTCATATCCCAATGCATTAGTCTTGTAGGTAGCATCTACAATAATCTCCCGATTTTTTTTCATAATTTCAAAGAATGGTGTAGTAAATCCTAAAAACTTAATTCTTATATCGCTATTAATTAAAATTATATTATATTTATGTTCTGTTAAAAGAACTTTTGTTGAAATTAATTGATTATTGTCACATGCATATTCTTTTTTAATAAAAATGGTCCACCATGCATGTACCTGTTTCTGTGTTAAATTTAAATTATCTTGTTCTAATTGTTTATA